TTCTTGGTACAAGCTATTGTGGGCAAGGTTAAAGATTTTTTTCACAGACCCCTGCAACATAAATGGATACAATGACTTCACAGCCCTCACTTTAGTTTTGAGGTTGACCAGTTAAGTTGTCGATGAGACAGCAAAGTCCCTCTAATCACTGGCCTCTTCTGAGTCTATTTTGCTACTATCATGTTCACCCTTGTGCCCTGGTCAGGCTGGCAAATCAATGACACAGAGGTCAAAATGCATGCGTGTGTGAAACCATGAGGAGTTTGACCAGAAGCCAAGCATACACTCCACTCCTCTATGGCACTGAACCCTGACCACATGCACAAACCTGCTAGTTGTGCAATAAAAAAGATTTAGCACTGTAACTCTACCTGCTCGCCACCAGTCTTAGGTTTGTGTGCCTTTTGATTAATCATGGGCCAAGAGGGATTTATTGTATGGGGGATATTTGCCTCAGCGATTTAATAATGGCGAAGGAGGAACACAATTAATCAAAGGGGGTCGACACATGCCCCCTTCTAAAAATGTGTAAAATTAATTACTATGAATATGCATATTTGTTTGTGAGATGCAATGTATAGTGTGTGCATAGCTGAGCTGCATTAGTGCATACAGTCCTGTGCTCTGTTAATAACATTGCTCATTGTGTCCTATGAATATATATCCATCTCATGGGTGGCTGGATATCATTGCACTAGCATGGGTTTGTGGAACTACTTATTATTGTGTTTGAGTTGGCATCTAGGGGTCCATCAAATATCTCAACTTCCTCTCCCCGTACATACACTGACAAATAAAGAAAAGACACACAAACACAAACACACACAGCTGCATACCTTCCTCTTCCCCTCCCATGTGCTGCAAATACGCTCTCAGGCTTGTGCAGGTATGGGAGCCTCCCTCCCACTCTCATAATCATGTACGAACAGCCTGGTACTATAGAAAAATAATGATGTGCTGTCCTGTTGGCTCATTTATCAGCATGTTTTACAACAGGCGCCGGGTGGAAGTAATTAAACTCTGCCATCATTACAATGAGCCAGGCCCCCCTCTTAATAGACACCCAATGAGACACTAGAGGCCTGTCTGGTAAATGGAACTCCAACTATCTCTGCCTCTCTCTCTTTCTGTGTGTGTGTGTGTGTGTTTGTCTGTCTACAATCCTCTTGTTTCATGTGTGGTTTTAATTAGTGTAGAAACAGAGCTGATAAGCAATTGAGAAAAAGACAAGTGAATCAGAGAAAAAAGGTTAGGGTCTTTGCTCCACTGAGTGCCTCTCTGACCCCTTCATTTAACAATGGACAAGCAAAATTAATTCACTCAGTAGACAATGTGGATAACAAGCTGACACTAAGAACTAAATCAGGGAACCAACATTACTCATACAATATTTAATCTTGCACTGTCATCTAAGCTAAACAGTGTTAAGAATGTTCATAATTTTAAACCTCCACATGAACATAATCCTAGTCCGTTCAGAACGAGAACATCGAGGAGGAAAGGAAGAGAGGTTATGAGTCCAGCCATTCAATAAATAAACAGATAAATACCTTCCACAGATAATCCAAAACTTACAAGACTTCTGTAATAATCTAATAAGTGCACAAATAGAACTTCTCTGGGGACCATCCAATCCTAGAGCAATACAGAATGCCTATACCAAGTACTGTATGGAGTCTCCTCTGTGTATGCTTTTACTGCAGTGTTCTCAGATATCATTAAGAGACTGGCCTCCCAGTCACAACACTGTGTCTAAAAAAACTCTGTGCTGGTATAAAGAGAGCCTAAGAGACTGGCCTCCCAGTCACAACACCGTGTCTAAAAAACTCTGTGCTGGTATAAAAAGAGCAAATTCATGCTTTGCGTGTCGGCATGTCCGCTAAGGTAGGGTGATGTACTTTTTGTCATCTTCCCAGGTCTGCACAGACTCTGTGCAGACGCCCGCGTGGAAGGTCCAACAGCAAAAGCCCGAACTGCACATGTGCCACAGTGCTTGGAAACCCTCAGCATACATGTCTGAAGTATGAAAAGGAATGTGTGCACGCCCCTCATCCGAGTCCGTGTACACACACGAGGGTATGCGCAAAGCATGAATTCAATTTAACAAAGAAAAAGCTGCTAATAAAATGAATGAAATCTGCTTCTTCCCGGCACCAAATTGAAATGACTTGGGTAAGTTGATTTGGGCGGACTAAGACATTTCAAGCTCATCTGTAATACTGAAACAATTATGGGTGATTTTCTCAAGGATATATCAGCTAATAAGATGCCTGATTGGAGATCTACAATACATCACTTGCCTGTTATATGCAGTAGTTCCTTTACTATACCTGGACCATTTAGTATTACTTACAGCTCTAATGGCACAATTACCCTTCACCACCAGCACTAATAGTGCTCTAAGAGATCCTTTTGATGTTATGACCTTCGTACATACCCACATCTAGCTCCCACTCCAGTGTCTGCACTCAGTCCCCCCAGAGCCCCTAATTTGTGGATATTGATTAGGCCCACGACCACAACTGCTACCCCCACTCTCTAACACCAGTCCTCCCCCTACATATATACGCCCTCATTCCTTTACCGTGCTCTCTGCACCCACCCTAATCCCATGATAATCAAATAGGGACCAGACTGGCTATTCAGTGCTGTACCAATTAGCCGGTGAACGAGTCTAGGGCTAGTAATAGTTGTACTAGCAGAGGTGGCAGCAAGCAGTAGTATCCAGGGAGGCTGTAAACATCCATTAGTGGTTAACCGTCCCTACTCATTTTTCCTTCCCAAAAACTCTCTCATTAGTGCAGTGAGCCCTGACAGGTAAACAGCACTAATGGGAATGGCCTATCAATAAATGAATTGTGTGTTAACAGGAAGTGCTAGCAAGAGGACTGAAGATAGAGACCAACAGCAATAAATAGGGGGAAGGGGTAAATTCTCTGATATAAATAGCTGTAAACACGAGGAGGTGGTAGGTTATAAGTAATAAATGTTTTACTGTGTGTTCTGCGTTCCTGGGAGTTTTGATTATAGATGGGATGAATGTGCTTTTGCAGAAACACTAGACAAGGGAAGCAGAAGTAATTTTGGACAAGAAAAGATCTAAGACATCAGCTAATGAAATACGATCTGAAGTCTTTTGAAAGTCACTTTGATGTGACTCTGGCAATGCTGGCAAACAGTTGTCATGTACTAGCAAGAGTACTTCAAGGCATGACCTCAGGTGTTTCAAAGACTATGCTTATGTGTGGGTCTTTCCAGCAGCATGATGCGTGACATCCCTTTGTGTTAATGCTTATATTTATATTTTGTGTATCGCTATTCACATGAAAGAGTGAGGGAAAGTGGAAAGAAGGAACTGGGAGGGCCTTAAAAGAAAGAAAAAGAAAAAAGAAAGTGAAGGGAGGAAGGAAGAAGGGCTGAGGGGGCTCGGGAGAGGAGAGAGAGAGATGTTATTTATGTTTGGAGCAGGTTCACTCTGAGTTCACCTTACCATGAGACGTCCCTGGGCGGTGACAACCACACTGCTGCTGATGTGTGTGTCTGTGAGTGTGTTGGAGTGTGTGTGCAAGCTCATGCAAGTGCTTGTGAGTACATCCATGCTTTGCGTGTTTCTTTACTTTTACATAAGCATGTGTGTATGAGAGTGTGTGCATATGTGTGTGTGAACTGAGGGTCAACTACTGAGCAATAACATCTTAGGGAGGACAAAGGATGTGGGGTGGATGCACTACGAGCTGTAACTGTGTGGGCTTTGTGTGTGTGCGTGTGTATCAGGGGCCCATTACTAAGGCTGTGGAGCACTAAATCAGCAGTGCTACTGCAGTGGATAAAGCCAATGATACACGGATTACAGCCACACAGTCTCTGCTGCCCGCATTTATCCACAGGCAGATAAAAAGACTGAGTGTACGTGTGGGTATCTGTGGGTGTGCGCAGTACTGCATATGGGGTTGTGCCTGTATCTATATGTGTGTTCATTTGGGAATGCATCCGAGTATGTTCATCACTGCACGGTGCATGATTTTACCTACTGCACACAGTTCCTTAGATTAAAGTGTGTAATTACACTACTAACTGAAATAAAAACCAACAGATTGACAGACATATTCAGAGCAAGCGTTAACCGCCATCATCAAGCAGGGCCCTGTTTGAGCAGTGTCTGTAGCCTGGGGTTGTATGGACACTAATCCACCTCCAGCTCGCTCCAATAAACAGCACCTTATCCATGTCTTACTGAGCCCACGTTTACCATTTCAACTGCTTACACACAAACCCACTGGCACCACACACATTTTTTTATATATATATATTTTTGACATCTTACCAGGGATAAAAACTGCAGTGTTTCCTGATCAAATTTCAGGGGCAGACTCGAGAATTATGAGTAAAAAAAAAATCAGGGACATTTGGGGCAAAATTGTTACATAAAAGCAATAATTTTAGCACAGGTATAATGTGCAGCGTGTACATCTAATGTCCAAGCACAACGCTGTGACCGATATCCTTCCTAGCTCCAGCTTTCTCCACCAACACCAGCCTCATCCACACTCCAGCGTTAGACCTCTGCTGGTCTAATTACACAGACTGACCTCCCACAGGTCGCCTGAGTAAAGGCCCCTAAAGATCAATATTCATTCTTTTAGATCTGTCATCCGGTTTTGACACTATCGACCATGTTCTGTGTCTGCGCCTGCGCCCATGTTCTTTCTCTGCCCCCCCCCCCCCGTTCTTAATTCATCTATTTACCCCCCTCCCAACCCTCATATCAGTGCTTGAAATGGGTCTCACACGTATAGAGCGAGCTGATACTTCTGAATTTGCCCACTTGCACATTGTTACTTCTAACTTATTGCCACTTACAGATGCTACTGGTACAGAGTGTAGTTATATTATTCGGACAGATTTCTCTTTTTTCTGCCAAAAAAAAAAAAAACCAAGCAAAAAATATATTTTGAGATGAAATATGAGAGATGAAGAAAAGCATAGCCTCTTTCTCTTACCTCCACAGTCCTGCAGAAGTAAATGGCCCAACCATCACACTAACATGGTAACTCCAAATAGGCCATCCTAACGAGAATGTGGAGTGGTCAACCTGAGTCAAAAGAAACAAATAAAATATGCTTAACTTAAATCCTGCATCTTACATGATGCGTCCCCAAAAGTTTCATGCAATTTGGTTGCTTATTTAGAGTAAAAACATATTTGTTTTTTCAGGATACACATTCTTTAGGACTGAAACGGACACATGCATGTATGTATGCGTGGTAATGCAAGTAAACAAACAAAAAGTGTGCACACATCTATCTGTACTCTGTCTTGCTTTCTTGTAAAGCTGAAAATGAACTTGATATTATATAGCCTACTTATATACTTTTTTTATTTTTCTTTGGAGCTTTGGGGAGTTTGGGCTTGTAGGGGAGAAGAGGGCAAATGTCCAGCACCCTGAGGTATATGTTTGTTTCCACCTGTAGTGCATCATTGACTTTGACCAGGCATGCTGGCCTCACATTCTCTGCAACAACGTTATAGCAGATAAGCACCACAGGGCTAATGAACAGAGAGAGGACTTGTTGAAGGTCAGCTTCTTCATTTAGGGGCCCTCCAATGGGCTGGCCCACTCTGCATGACTAAACACATCATCATAATAATGCCAAGGACCCACCGCTTTAAAACTCTTGCATGTTTTTTTTTTTTCTACCCCCAGTATTGCCTGGCATACTTTACGTCTCCAATATTCCCCTTCATCTGAATTATGTTGATTTTCCCGTTTCTTTCTGAAAGGCTTTTAAAGGTCTTGGCAATTATCCTTTTCTGGATGTGCTTAGAAAAGGATGCTGTCCATCCAGTGCCTGCTGATGATAGGGAAACATGATTTAACACAATCAAAGATGCAAAGCGCGGCTGGATAAGGGTGCTGATGTGACCGGGTGCCAAGGCCGGCCAAGGTCATGTTCATCTGCATGATTAAGGGAGATGAATTCTGCCCTGACCTCTGGATTATGCCAGAAGGATGTACTAGAGTGTGTATGAGTGTGTCTATAATATGTTTGGTGTACAACTGCCACCTGTCCTTTTTGAAATTTGAAAATGTTAAGAATTTATAAGATTTTCTTTTTCCCTTAGTTTTTGTCTCATATCTTTTTATATATATTAAAAGACTGTCATCTCTTTCTTCCATTCTTCTGCTCTCCACTAAACTCATTCCTCCATTCTTGTTGAACATTGGAAGGTGAAGAGGGTCTCTTCATGTTCCATCTCCTCACCCTCTACCTAAACGGGAGTTTAATATAGTCTCCCTGCTCTCTACTGTCCCCTCCTGGTGGGACCAGGCAGCTGGTTTTCCACACACTGACACTTGCCCATCACACTTGCAATGCAAGGAAACTATTCACAAGGACCCTGCACCTCCATCAAAATGTAACAATACAGAAATGCAATGTTTAATGTTGCTTTCTCATAGATATCTGATTAATATTAAAAACCTTCCTGACTTTGTTACTGGGTCTCTGTAAAGGAAATTACACTGAGTTTGTGTCTGCATTAATCAAAAGTGGCAAAAAACCCAGCGTGCTAAACTTTTGTGAACAGTATATTTGTTCACACTGTAAGCTATTTTAATCTATCGGCTTTATTGTCCTTCAAATAATGAAATGTAAGTACCACACTGTAGATCTTTGCTGAAAGCATTCATTTAAGTGATAATTTTGTGTGCAATCAGGAGAGGGTGACAGTGCCCCTTTTAGCATGGTACTGTACTGTAATGCACAATGAAGTGTGCTGTACTGTAAGGTGCTGTATACAGCAGATGAAGGTTATTTCTGTTAAAACTAAGCATTCTGGATCAGTTCCATGTAATTCTTGTCCTAGTCTTTATTTCTTCCCCGTATCAACTCATTGTGTCTGTAAGTGTCCAGGTCAGCTCTACAGCCAACCCCAGTATGCCAGCTGGCCTGAGGAACAGCCAGAAGCCTTATTTACCCCTCTCACCACCACCATTAGAGACCCCCCTATGAATGCTAACATTACAATGCTACTGGGGCTGCAGTGGAGGGGGGAATGGGAACAAGGAAAAGAAAAAACGGAAACAGGGAAAGAAAAGATACAGAGGAGTGCAGGTGGAAATGTTTGGGGAAGGGGGGGTGGGCTCTTGAAATTTCACATGCTTCCATACTCGTACATACAGCACCCTCTTTGCCCTGCCTTCCCAGTAAATGAAATGCAGGGATCATTTTATGTGAGAAAAAGGACTCTTTAGCATTGCCTCCTGAATTAGAATGGTCATTTGGTATCACTGTTTATAAAAGAGCAAGGGGAGAAGGAACATGCCACCAAATTATTTTAGGCCAAAATTAAGTCACTACGTTCTCTCACTGCTCCTTTACTCTTCTCCCCTACCTTACTTCTCCAAATCCCACAGAGTTGTACTGTTCTTCCAATGCCCCAACAAATGAAAGAATGATGGCAGGAGAAGGGGGAGGATGGAGGGAAGGGGGATGATAGAAAAGGAGGGGAACAGGAGTCAGAGGCATCCACAGCAGAGGGCCAGATGTCAATCACCTCCTCAGGTGGGCTTTAGAGAGGCACACACACATTCATGCATGTAGCGTGCACCACTGATATCTAGGGGAATTAAAATACACTGGCAGAGAGCAGAAAAGAGTGAGAGGAGGAGAGACAGTGAGACAGTATAAGAGGGAAATGGGGGAAAAATGTAGGAGAGCAAATGGGACAAAGGGGCCTGAATGATGCAAAGGTCAGAAAAGTCAGAAAAAGAATTCAAAGAGCGCAAAGTAGATTCACTGAAAGTCATTACCTACCACAAATTACCTGGGCAACAAGCTTAAAATAAATAAATAAATCAGACTGCATCAACAACAGAGGAGAGCGGGAGAGACTGGGGAGATGCAGACGGAGAGCTGCAGAGAAGTGAGAGGAAGAGAAGTAAGAGGAGGACAGGAAGGAGGCGGAGGGGGGCATTGGCTGGAGAGGGATGAAAAATCGATGGACAAACAAGTGAGAGGGTGCTTGCAAAAAGGAACCCGGAGGGGAATTAAGCATTTAAAGGAATTCTGTTTCTGTGGTATGGAGGATTGGGGGGGCTGGGAGCACAAAAGCGCCTGAGGGTGGAGGAGGAGGGGGAGTGTGGCAAAGACGGACGGACCACAATGCCCTGCAGCTTGATAGGGTTGAGTGACCACATCAGGTCTAGAGGCGAGCAGCGAGACGGGCAAAACCCGATGGCTTTAAGTCAAGAGGATTAGATTCAAAGTCTCTCTCCCTCTGTGTTTAACCCCCTTTTCCCCTACACCTCTCACACCCCCTCCATCCCCTCTCCTCATGTCTGTCAGGTGTACTGCCCCAATACAAGTCATCCAATCAGTAAACAGAAGGATCAAAGTATTACTAATAGTCTAGTTTTAATGTTTCAAGTGGTAAACCCGAGAGCTGGCTGATATACTCGGCACCAAGGTAAACAGGTCAATAGTATTGATCTGAATTCTGACCGACTCTCCTCTCTCTCTTCCACACACACATAAACACATACAGTTTCTTGGCTGAGAAACATGGAATGCATTAGAAACTTTCTGGATTGCACTTCAGCTGAGGATGGGGAGTTGACACATGCATACACAGACACAGACATGGAAACACACACCATTTCTCAATATTCATACATGCAAAAAAGCAAAGTACACTGTAATACTGAAATTCCACAGGCTTTGACATAGTTAGACATGAAACAAAAGTACAGGCAAACACATATACGCGCCCCAGGCTTTGACATAGTTAGACATGAAACGAAAGTATACACAAACACAGATACGCGCCTTCATATCATTGTGCTTAATTTCACTCTGTCTAATACAGTAACATATGTGATAAGTAATGGTCTACATGCAGCAGCTGCTGCACTCAAACACAAGGACAGAGCAAGTCGTTTGAATACAGACTCCTATTGTCCTTCTTATGTCAATAAAACTCAGAAGTGCTAAGGAACTAGCATGGTCAGCAACATTATGAGACTAATTAGCATTTTCTTCTTTCTTCTGCTGGTTGATCTGTTTAAACAAGCCTGGGGGGTCTGCTGTACTTACTGTAATTAAAGCAAAAGGAGCAACTCTAGCTTAAGAGAAGGAACACATAAAGGCTGCCTCACTAGGGGGACCTCAAAACTGCAAGTATCCCACAGTGGTTTTTGTATATAGAATTGCAAGAGGCTATACAATAGGTAAAGCTGGCAGGTTAGTGCAGTGGTTAGTGAGTTTTTCACCCATTGGGACTACGATTTGCTCCTCAGTATGGCCACACCTGTCAAAGCATCCCTGAATGATACTTATTTAACCCATAGCCACTCCGGGAGCACAGCGAAGTTGCTGAAGCTGCACACCACCTAGGCAAAAGTAAATTCCTCTTGGGCAATGCATAAAGAATATCAAAAATGATAACGAAAGGAGCTGCAATAAATACACAGTATGAGTTGTACAAAGGCTTAGAAAGATAGTTTCTTGCTTGCCTTGTCTTTTTACTATGCTGAGGAGAAAGGAGGCAAAATAAAAAAATAAATTTTGGATTAAGATTCTTTGGGAGAAACAGCGATAGGTTTTACTGGCTGACAGTCTGATGCTGCTCAGTCTTTTCTGGCTGTGGGCAATGTTAGCAGTAGCGGTGATCACCGAGGCATTAACTGCACAGCAATGACACCAATGTAATTCAGCTACTCTGCTCTAGATTATGACACTTAGCATGGACTGGATAACCCTTATTATGACATTCATTTAGCTAACATGAGACAAATTATAGGCTGTCATGACACAGATACCACAGCTGTTTAGACAAGTGCTGACACTAAGGAACTGCTGTTGCGTGATTTGGCCTGATGCGATCAATGCAACAATTTCTCTGATGTGAAGTATCTCTGATCTAAAGAATATAATTATTTCATAAGTATATGATTATGTATGAAAAGCTTTATTTTGAAATGAATTGTCCTCAAACTTTTCCCCCCAGAATAATTAAGCGCTTGGAATACAGGCGTGCCCTCTCATTTCCCGCTAGCACACGCACACAGGGACACACACAGACGGCCATCCA